TCCAGTGTGGTAGTTGTACCTCTTAATCAAGATTAGGATTTTATAACATACCCATTATATAGTCATCATATATATATATATATGCACATATATAAAATCATTATGGTAGCTTTTAAAAATTAAATTGTGGTATACAATTAAAAATCAGATAAAGCCAATATTTTCAAAAAGAAACAGATTGGAAATAATACAGGAGTACATCCTATGTAATAAGCATGCACTCATAATAGGAGTAATATCATCCCCAAAAGGGTAATAATTGGGCACAGAGGAAATAGAAATCCTGATACTATAATGGATTTCAGCATTGCAAAACCCAAAGAAAACCTTATTTCTTAATGCTTCATTTCTATTGTGTTTTATTGGTTATTACATGAGTAGTTTTGGCATCAGACCCAAAGGGCATGCAAGAAAACCCTGCAAAATTTATGGTAAATAGATGGCTGTGGTTACAGGACTTTCTCTTGATCAGCTGCACAATCTCAAAGGCATATAGTGAGAGGTGCTTATGTGTGCCCATTGTTTGCCTTCGGTTGCCTTGTGGTTGCTTATGGTTGGACCTTGATGCTTTTGAGTGACTTGAGGTTAGAAAATGAAATGAAAATAGTTCATATTTTATTATTAATTCTACAAAGTTATTCATATCATCATTATGTCAAATGCTGCTAAGAAGAAAAAAGTTGACAATATCTAACTTAATAACAACCAGTTACAATTGTTTCTTCATAGCAAGGAAAACTAAAAGTTAAGTTCTCCAAAAATAGTTTTAAAGTTATTAATTTTAAAATAATTTTACTTGTGCTAGAAAACTAATGATTTTATTTGTATTGTTATTGTATATTTATATTATATATAAATATACATAAATTGCTACTTTGCATATGTAATTTGATATATTACCATTTACATAAGTAAATGAATTACCTTAAAAGATTCTCAGTATAATAGTTATGAAATTATATGAACTGTTAATAGATTTAAATTTTAAATATTTAACTTTAACTTAAACTTTTTATTCTGTCACTTTAATCTTATATTGAATAAAAAGTAAACATTATGCTTCTTTTTATACTTCTTTTTATATATAAAGCACAGCTATACACACAGTACATTAGGAAATATGCAGCATATCTATAGTATTAAAATTTCATGGGAATAGTGATTAGGAAGACATGTTTATAAAAGATCCTTAGGGAAATGATAGTGAAAATGGTTAAGCAGCACTCTACTAAGGGAAAAATATTCTTAAGTGATACTTTAAAAGTTTTATTTTTATACATATATCTTGTACGTAAAGTTATATGACTCCTTTTTAAACTATATACTCTTTGTATATATTATATGCACATATAATACACTATATGTGTGTATATATGTATATGTATATATATATACATATATGTATATATATATATATATATATATATATATATATATATGTATACACCACACATTTAATGGTTTGGAAAATAGCATGCTTTTTTTTATAAGTAGTAGTAAAACAAAACACACTAAAAACATAGGAGATAAAAAAATACACCTAAAAACAAGGATGAGGAGATCAGACATGCATCTGTTCATTAATGACTGCCTCTTGAATGCCAAATGCTATGCTAAGCACTGCATAAACACACTGTATCTGTCAATGCTCTTTACATCTTAGTTTCTATACAAGCAAACTGAAGTGCAGAGTTTTGATATACCTTCTGAATCATAAAAAGACAATTAGTGGTAGACCTGAATTCATATTCAAACTTGGCCCACTCTAAGGCTCAGGCTCTTTTCTGTTGTACTTCTGTCCTTTCTTGACCTCAAACAGTACATGGAAGTTATATGAATGAATAATGATGGAAACATGAATAAAGCATGCCAGATACTTGAAATATATGTAGATAAATAAGCTATTTTTACTTTAAAAGCATTTATTAGTCAGTACAGGGCATAGTTTACCCACAGCTTTGAAGTATGTTTCCTGCATAAAATCAATGCTACTGAACCCACAGATGAGTTTTGTAAAGATTCCATGAGACAATTATATATGAGTGAGAACATTTCAATGGCTCAATTATTTTTGAGTGTTATTAATTGGATATTATAGGGAATATTAGCCTTCCTAAGACATTCTTACAATTCAGTTTCACAGGCAACCTTTACAGACCCCGATAAAGCCATGCAAGGACAAAATAAATCCAGTAACTGCTATGGAATTCATGAAGCAAACACGGCTGTGGTATTTTGAAAAGACAAATGCAGGAGAGAGACATTTACCTGAACTCTGAGAAATGGATAGGACTTTGGAGAGGCAGAAAAGAAAAAGAGCTTATTTCAAGGTAGGGCTAGTCTAGAAACAAGATACTGAGGAGGAAATAAACTTTGTGTTCAGGGAATCAGGTTTTATGAAACAGACTTGGTGAATAATGGAAGACAAAATGAGAATTAAAATCATTAGCAGAAAAAGATGATGAGAAATTTGTACTTAATTCTTTGAGCAGTAGACAGTCACTATTTCTAGTTAGATGAATGAAATGAGGCTGTTAAAAGCTTACCTATGACATTACACAGGAACGAGAGAAAGAATTGATGCTAGAAAACTGGCTTGACACTGCTGAATTACCACAGACATACACACAGAATAAAGTGGATGAAGGATGGAAGTGATGAAAATGAAACATAAGCTGGAATAGATATCTACCTCTCTCCCCAAATAATGAAGAATGGTTGGGTGGGATCAAAGATGAGGTAATTAATGACAACTATGTGATTTCAAAGACCCAAAGAACATGAGAGAGCACTGCTACAAATAAGGGAGATACAAAAGGGATTTGATAAATGTTTGGTTTTGTACTCATCTCTAATGTGATTACACAGAAATATAAGATAAGTTTAGATAAAGTAGTGCAAGTCAAGAATATGATCAGATCTTCAAATGTAATTTTGGAAACGATGACCACAGAAATAATGGCTGACGGTGTCAGAATAGATGAGTTGATTAGGGAAACTGGGCCCAAAAAGTGACTATAACTCTTAGGTTGTGTGACAAAAATAGCACATACAATGACAGAGTTTTTGGTTCAAGTGGCTATTGTCCTTTCTTAAATCATCATGAATTTATTCCCAAGTGTTTGTAAGATCTGTTCTTCTATACCACTCTTGGGGATATACCTAAAAGAATGGAACACAGGTTACTCCAGAGGTACTTGTACACCCATGTTTATTGCAGTACTATTCACAATAGCCAAGCTATGGAAACAGCGAAGATGCCCCACTACTGAAGAATGGATTAAGAAAATGTGGTATTTACACACAATGGAATTTTATGCAGCCATGAAGAAGAATGAAATCTTATCATTCACAAGTAAATGGATGGAACTGGAGAACATCATTCTGAGCGAGGTTAGCCAGGCCCAGAAGACCAACAATTGTATGTTCTCCCTCATATGCGGACTTTACATCAAGGGCAAACACAACAAAGGGAATGGACTTTGATCACATGATAAGGTGAGTGCACACAAGGGAGGTATGAGGATAGGTAGGTAAACCCCCACCCCCCAAAAATATAGCATTTGATGTCTTCAATGCAAAGGAACTAATGCAGAAACTTAAAAGCAACAGAGGCCAATAGGAGAAGGGGACCAGGAACTAGAGAAAAGGTTAGTTCGAGAAGAATCAATTTAGAAAGTAACACATATGTAAATGGAAGCAATGCTAGGAATCTCCCTATATAGCTATCCTTACCTCATCTAAACAAAAACCCCTAGTCCTCCTTATTAATGTTTATACTCTCTCTTCAACAAAATTAGAGATAAGGACAAAACAGTACCTGCTTGGAAGTGAGGGAGTGTGGGAGAGAGGGAGGGGCTGGGGAAAAGAGAGGGAGTGGGAGGAAGGGGGGAGAAATGACCCAATCATTGTATGCACATATGAATAAAGGAAATAAAAAAAAAGATCTGTTCTTCTTGACAAAGTGGACAGATCTTTGTTAATCAAATTAAACTATCCTTGACTTTTCCCTAAAGTGCCCTGAGATAGGGCCTCTGGTCTGCCATACTAAGTAGAGTAGTATAAAGAGATTTGATGGGAAAGACCACTTTTTGCATATTATGCTTATTGCCAATTCTCCTAAATACAAGGTTTTCTTAATTTTGTTGTAATATAGATGTTTGTCAATCAATTTATTTACACTTATGTGTGTTTGAACTATCTACACTTCATTCATCTACATATTCCATATGCACTGGAAATGCTAAAGAACAAAGACCTAAGCTGTGACTGTGTTTGCGAGATAGAAATTTCCTACATCTCAAACAGTAAGGCATAGTGATTCCACATAAGCGACTCACAGGTCAGGATATGATGCTTTATCCAGCTCTTTCTCTCAAATAAAATGCTATTGCTTGCCAAATTAAAAAATGAGATGAGAAGACAATTTGAATAATAAGTGATAGTTTGATTGCCAATTTGAAGTAATAAGCAGAGAAAATTCTTTCAAGAAATTAAGCACTATTTTGGTAATCAATCTTTGCTGATGAAATAGGAATGTATGTACATAATTTCAATTATAATATATTACATATAACCAATTATACATACAGGAAAGGCAAGTGAATGTTAATAGATGTCATATTGTTTATTGATAGTTATTTTAGCTACTTTTTATGTTAGACTTAAATATTATCAAGGCTTAAATGTTTTAAATTTTAACATATATGGTAGAACTCTAATTTCAAGAACATCTAATCAGTCTATCTGCCTGATAGGATGAAGAATGGTGTGTTACTCCATAGAGATATTTTTTATATTGTGAACATCTGGCTAATAAAATGGATTACCTTGTTTCTGTTAAATTTTATTTTCATATTGTACTAAACATTTTTTTCTTTGTTTTGTATTTGATTCAAAGCATAGAAAATTTCACAAACTTCTTTTAATATACTTGTGTTTTCTTGAAAATAATCTATATTAATAGAGGATGCAGAAAAATAGATTTAATTCATACTCACTGTGGTAATGTTGCTGGCAGAGAACGTCTAATAATTGAATGAACTTGTCTGTAAACATCCAGTTTAGACATGCATCGGCAGGAAGTGTGATTGGCAAAACTGACTGTTACTGGTTTGGGGCCTTGAGAGAGAGGCACTGTAATTTCAAACAACTATAAAGAAGGGACAAAAAGAAGAAAAAATTATATAGATGCTATAAAGCATTTTATGGTCAATTTTGGAGTCCAAAAAAGAGTGACATTAACTTTTTATGACTAGGTGGTGCTGCGTAACATAGGCAGGACACTACTGTTTTTATAATTACAAAGTAAAAGCTGTTTTGCTCCTGAATACTATCTTTTATCAGAATAATGAGTAGTTCATATGCTTATCTCATGTCACTAGTTATGAGGAATATTAAAATCATGATAACCAACTAATGATTACAGAGCAGAAATGTGACAGACCAATGCATTCAAGAAAAAAATTGCTTCAGAGTCCTAGACTATTTGACATCAAAGTTTAAAATATTTCAGAGATTTAAAAAGTGGAACGGATCATCAGTAGTAAACATCTTTGTGATTTAAGAGCAAAGCTGTTAGATGCACAACTTGGAAATGCTTGGATAGTCCTATTTTATGTAAAATGAATACATAGACATAAATTACAGAGATTATGTAATTAATTTTCACTCCAAATTAAATTTCTCCCTGAAAGTAGTTTAACATGTCTCAGGTCTCTTATGAATTTATGTTTTAAAAAAACACAAAGGTCTTATAAAAATGAGTATGAAATGAGGTAGAGCATTTTATAGGATTCTAGAATAGAGTCTTAAAGTGTGGTTTAACTAAGGCCTCATTCTGAATACCTTATGTATGGAGAGCTTCTATTGTCCTCCAAAAAGCAATGTTCTGAACTGATTAATTAAAACTAAGTGGATTTAAATTCCCAATGTTGCTAAACTCTAAATTATTACCAGAAAAAAAGATAAATGTGAAATCCTGTCTATTCGCTGTTTGGCAAGATCAATTTTTAGTAGTATAGTGATAGCTGAGCCATGTATTTATTTGGTACTCTACGGCATCTGATCAGTGCTAAAAAGGGTAGACTACTAGGCAGTCTTGAAATTTGGCCACTTCCTGTAATTTCATGCCATCCTTTGAAGAGCTCTGGAAATATCGAGGGGGCAGAATTTTTGTCCACACCAATGTTTTACATGAGTTTTAAACAATGAAACACTATCATTTGCAACAGCATGGATGAAACTGGAGATCATGTTAAGTGAAATAAGCATACGCAAAACGGCAGGTACCAGAGGATCTCACATATTGAAATTAAGAGGAAAATGATGGTTATCAGAGGCTGGGGAGAGGAAGAGTAAATGATGAAGTTTTGAGTAGATAGGTATGTTTAACCTGATTACACAGTGTATGCTTATATCAAAATATCACATGTACATCATTCATATACATAATTTTTGTGTTTTTATGCATCCATCAAAAATTTACTAAAAAAGAAATATCTAATTTATATGATGCACATTTTCTTCATTTGAAATGCATTTTTAATAAATTCATTAACAATTCAACTATTTTCTTAGCATAAGGACATATTTCAGGAGACATGGACATGGGATTATACCCAGTGAGGATACTTTCATCAGCTCCCACAGTTTTAAATTGTACGAATTTAGAAAAATGATTCAACTTCATGAATCTGTACTTTCTCTAATAATCAATAATCTAAGGATAACATCTGATACAATACTTCATGGGATAATTACAAAGATTATATAAGATAATGAATGTGGTATGCATATTTTTATGCATGTGTGAGTTATTCATATGCATAAATTCTTAAGATTATAGGTATTTTCCATAATGCTGTCTATTCTATATAAACAGCCTCAATATAGTATTGTCTGTCAAAATTATGATTTTTTTCAGCATTATATAGGTCTTTAAAATGTGATTGTTTATGTTGCATGGACAAAACTTTTAATTAGGTGCAATGATAGAAATTCTTGGCACTATTTAGAACTATTTTATGAGAGAACTCTGTAGGATCTACATACACTAAAATTTTTCTATTTTAAAAGAGATCTATGGATCCTATGTTAAGAATCAGCACTGTAGAATACATATGAAATGGTTTATAAAATAGAAAATTTTAAGTAAACTTATAAATTACTTATTTAATTTTTTCATGGTGTTGGGGATGGGAATCAGGGCCTTGCACATGCCAAGCAAGTATTTTACCACTGAACTACATCCTCAGCCTTTAATTTTTATATTTACACAATTTGTGATTGGGTTGTTTACAGTATAAATAGTATAAATGGTGGGAATGTATACAGGTCAGCAAAAAAAAATGGCTTAAGAATGTATGTCTAATAGCAGTTAGATACAAGAGCCTAGAGCTATAGCTTCATAGAAGTCATGAATATATAAGCTGTAACTGAAATCCTGGGTTTTTGGTGAGATTACTTAGAAAGAGCATTTGGAATGAACTTGAAGTATATCTGGGAAGACACATAACATGAAGCTGGAGGACTAGGAGGGAAGTATTGCTAAAATAGGAAAAGCCAAAGAATGAGAGGAGAGCTTCAAAAACCTGTGTGTGCTCATAGAGTCAAACATCTCAGAAATCAAATATGATAAGAATTGAGTGGAGACAATAAGTACCAGAAAAAACTCTATGGAATGTGATCAGGCAGTGACTGTAGGAGAGGAGCAGCAGCAGAAAAAAACTACAAAAGGAAAGTCCCCATATGAGGAGAGAGAGGGCTCAGGTTGCTCTGGCCACCAGGAACACTTTTCCTTACAGAATGTTTGTTATTGCAAGGTTTGGCATTGTCTCCTGTGACAGAAGGAAGCACAGAGCCTGGCAGTGAAGGACAATCATTAGTTGAGATAACAGTTATGCAAAAGAGTTGGTGTTTTCCTATCTCTAACCCTTGACTGGATCATTCCTGCTCCCAATGAGGGCTATTTTTCTCTGACCTGTTTTCCAAAGGGGAAAGAAGCCATGATAAAAATACCAGTAAGCATGGATAAATATCTTCCATTCCTGGTCTTCCATTCATAATCAGGATCTGCCCAAAAGTACCAGTGTGCATTTGGGAACTAGGATTTTAAAGAATGTTCTGGTGAGTTTGGGAATAGTTTATTTACATATTAAGAAGCATCATCCTGGAAAAATAAATAGGGCTTTCAAAGGTTGGAAGACACTTATATTGATAAATATAGAGTAAAAGTATAAAGAGACAGGTAAAGTGGCATTAAAAACAAATCACTGTTTGTAAAGCTTTCCCCCTGTAAGTTCAAGGGCTTTTATAAGCATTAAAATGATTTGAGAGAAAATTTTACTTGTAGGTCAACTAAAATAAAGGAAATAAAAATCACAATTCCTAACGTCTCTATTTCTCTTATTTGTGGCTAAGTTAGCAACTGGCCAGGTGAATGTAGTTAATTTGGTCCACAGAAATAAATAGGCTGAAAAATTAAAATAATTTTTTTTCTCTTGAAACACAACCTCAAGTTTTGACATGAGGTTTTCAGGCAGTTTTCTTAATTCCCTATTTGACTATGTCAGTGAGGAAAAACTTTAAGGGTCTAGAGAAAGGCGTCTTTGACCAATATGAAAAGAAAAGATTTCAGATAATTTTGTTTTGTTCACTTATCAACTTCGAAAACATTAGAAACATCTCCCGAGAATGCACCACATATGTGTGCAATAAGACATAACTACCTATGCTGCTCTTATACTGAAGGAGTTGCTTTAATTCTCCAGTGTTTTTCTGCACTGGTCTTATGTGTATATACCGATTAACTTTTTTCCATTAAAAATTGCTGCAAATAAAATTTCTATTGCTATTTGAATACATATAGTAAATTCTGTTTTCTTGTTTACAGACCGACTTCTGACATTTGTACTAATATATTTAAATACTGTTACTAAGAATGTGCCAAGAGACCTTTTTTCCTAGTCAGATAGTATGTGCTTAGAAAATATATACTATTTTCAACCAAAAAATAGCTAATAACCACAAGTACATTTTCAAAGTCACATGTACCTCTTTCAAAGTAAATACATAAATGCAGACATTTTTCAAATAACTGGCAACTTCCCTACTTGGATAATCTGACCCACCACAGAAACTACCATTTTTCTCTCAATAGAGTCAAGATCCATGTAAACATACCAGTGTTTGAGACAATAAGAATTTTCTTCTATATTTTAATAAAATATGAAACCTCATATTATTGTCAGGCTATGATGTGCTAATGTGTATATAATAGAGTTTTCCATTCTACATTTAATTTCTAAGAGTTCAAAATGCATGCATTATGCTCAGCATTAGCTAATAAGTCCATAGGATGATGTTTATTTAGTAAATACTGAATGATAACATAATTTATTTGTTAATATAATCAATTATAATTTGGTATTTTAAAATGGTTTTATATAATGTAGTGAACAGTTCTTGAACAACAGGTACTATTAATTTGTATACAAGTTAGGATCATTACTTTCCCTGTTGGTGTCACTGGTACACTTTAATAAGAATATTACATGATAATCCTCACCAGCAAGAACAGACTTCAAATAAAATACATTTGAGACAATAGGTTGTTCACCTCATCATAGCAATGTTGTAAAGCAACAATTCCCATTTCTACTAATCTTACAAGATATTCAAGAAAAAGGTGTGGAACTTCCTTACTAAAAATAACCAGAGCTACAATTTATTATAAAATTCAGAAAGAATGTTTGTATGAATTACAAATATGATTCCCAAATTCCTCCTTTGAAAAACATCTCTAAGCCTAAAATTCAACCAATTTTTCTTCTGCCATTTTTAATTTAAATTAAATATTCCAAACTTGAATCCATTAAATATAAAAACAGTATATATCTCTTAGAGAGTATGATTAATATTTATAAAATCAGATTAAAAACTACTAAATATTAAAGGAAAAATGCCTAAAAATGTGAAAAGTGAAAATTGAGTTCATGTTAGCAATTCAACTGAGTATTGCAACCACATGGATGACAATCAAGGACTTATGAAATGTGAATTGGGTCTGGAAAGAATAGGAGATAGCAACCTAACAGATTTACATTTGGCACTGAATTAATTTTAATATATTGTTATGCATAAAATTCAAACACAGAGCTATAATTAAAGTTAACAACTTAAACTGGGAATTTTAGAAATACTGAATAAAATTTGTGGACGTCATCATCTTTATTTGGACAAAAGTAATATTTTTTTCACAGATGACTTCTTGATTTTCTTAAGGCAAATATTTTTCTTAAAGAAACTTCTGGTAATCTTATTGGTATAATGTTCTTTTTCTACATCAGGGTAAACTTGATCCTAACAACTGTGCTTGCCAAATAATTTGCTAAAGATTCAATACAAATCACATTCTACAAGCTGAATACATATGAGTGGAACAAATTAATGCTTTAGACTGCCATAGCATTCTGTTTAATTAATGGAAGAAATATCCCTGATTGCAGTGCAAAATAATACCTTCTACGTTCATTATATGGTTACCAATTTTACTGAAGCTTAAATATATTTTGCTGTAAAACATTACAGACTATTCTACTTAATCAAATATTATCTAAAATTCATTTGGTAATGCTTATGTTTATATTATTTCTTCATAAAATAATGAAAAGAGAAATAGCAGTTTCTTTTTGAGACAGAAATACAGAATTTTAAATAACTATATCTCTACACCAGAATTAGCTCATAGAGATTATGAATATTTCTTTAGCCCAGCACTACTGACTACACAAAAAGCCTCTGGTTTCTTGATTGCTAATCCCAGGATATTCAATTAGACAAACCATGGACTGAGTAATTTTCATTATTCATTCATATCTTCAGTAAACTATATAATGTACATAGAAACACTCAGACAACTTTTCAATCCAAAAACATGACTTGAAAGCAGATGATTTTCTTCTGTTTCTACTTTCACCACCAAATAATTTACCTTCTGCAAAATTTGCTTCCTATTTTTTAGTTTTGTTTCCTAAACATACAACTTCTCATAGAAAGGTATACTTCAAGCAAATGTTTATGAAAGAGGTCAGGAAGGCTTTTAATCTAGTAAGTTTCCAGTCACTTAGATACTTGTAGAAGGCTTTGAAGCAGTTGTTACCAATTACTTCATCCTGGAATGCTCAGTGCATATGGTTTTACTTTTCCACCAACAGCTGGTTTCGTCACACAGTCTGATAACCTGCCCTACATTGAGCCCCATTTTTTTTTAATTCTATGAAGTTTCTATAAAACAACTTGAGTTTAACATTACTTAAGGTACATGATCCTTACAATATATGTAATTCCAGCTGGTGACTTTGGTTACTAAAAAATGTGTCTAGAACCTCAAACAAAATCAAACCATTTTTTTCCCTTTCAGAAAGGTTAGCAATAAATAATTCCCTTTAATACTTAAAAGAAATCTTCACACTTTCTGTGTATATTACATTAATAATATAATAATTTGGATAAACTTAGGAAAAAGGTTATTATTTAAGTATAAGTCACAATATTAGCAGAAAGGGAAACCTGACACTATCTTCAGGAGTTTCATGACTTGGGCCCCTTCAGTTATAAATCTCCTTGAACGCATTTCCCCAAATCTTTGTACTTCTCTTTCACAACACTTACACTATATTTAACTACCTGTGAAGTGTTTATTTTCTTGATCATATTGTAAACTCCATTAAGGAATGATAAATACATCACTGTTTACTTACTGTAAAACGTAGTATGAAGTACCACTTATCTAATTGAATTTAAGTTAAAATTTTTTTTTACTACAAACAAAAACATCTGAGTGGATTCTTTGAGTAGAAGAGCATGATATTTTAAAAAAAATCAAAGAAAGAAATACATGGACAATAAATGATGAATTTTGGCTTTACTTTTGCTCTTCTTTTCTGATAAATGAATTCTCTATTCACAAGCACACTAGGGCTTCAAATAATATTTACTAATACCATGGTTCCTCCCAAATCTACATAGAAAGACTCAATTTCTTTGCTAGAATTCTTTGTCCAACATTCTTTTGGCATCTGCACCCAAATAATATTCAGACTCTCAAAATCAATATATTCAACACTCTTACTTGTGATCTTGAATTTGTTTCCTTTTATTCAAGTTTTAATTTTATTCTTCCCAGTGTTTACCCTGTGCCATTTATTGCACGGTGCTCAACGTAAATAACCAAACACAAGCTATGCTTTCATGGCACCTAGAGCCTAGAGAGTAAAACAATCTGACAGACAGATGAGGTAATGATGGGAAAATATGAGCCACACAGGATGCTATGGGCGCATACAACAGTATCTCATGAAAATGACATCCTAAGGATTAGTAGAAATTAACTAGGTAAATAAAGATGTGGGGATTGTGTGTAAAGAGATGCTCCAAACACAAAGAGCAGCACTGTAATGACTTGAAGATGAGAGATAGTCACACAACCTGGTGGAAACTGTTTTTAAGGGGAAGAGCAGTGACAAATCAAAGGAAGGGACTGAAGGAACAGCCAGATTATTGAAGGACACAGTAAATCATATAGAGGGATTTTGTCTTAAAAAAGATACCTTTCAAAATTATTTAACAATTTAGTGCATTTATACCAGTCAGAACAGACACCCAGTCAGCAGACATCAGCTTATCAGTACAGTGGCTGAATGCTGGCTCAGTCCCATGAATGCAATGCTAGTGAAAAAAAACTTAGAAAAAAACTCACTTCTAAAATGTAGCCAACAGATCAGCTGGTCCAGGTGTAATGGTCCAGGTGAGAGATAAATGTGGCCTACATCAGAGTGGGATCAGCAGAATGAAGATATTAGATATGTTATAAAGATATTTGAAAGGTATACTTATTTTATAGGAATCATTGATTGGGCTGTTAATTAGATGAATGTGTTTTGACCAAGTGGATTAGTATTCAGAGAACACTGAAAAAATGAGATTTTTCTTACTTGCTTATTTATTTTGGGGATTTCTACCAATGCAAAAAAATTGACTTTGACTAGTCAGGGGGGAAAGTCAAATCGCAACTATGAGTGAGTAGTGTGGACATCAGGAGAGAAGTCTCAAGTGGATATAAAGACTTGGGAGTCAATATTATGAAGAACAAAAAGATTAGGGAACATAAGAAGTGTGTGCAGAGTTGGATCAGAAATGTCTCAGTACAAATGTTAACTATTCTCACCAAGTATTTTGAATCCTCATGTCTGCCACTGTTACACTGCTCAAAGATACCTTTGATGCTCTTTCCATCAATGAAGTAACATCCACTCTGTTCTCACCTTCAAGTTCACCCGCTATCCTCATGTTTGTCCCTAGGATGATACTGGAAAACTCATAAATCTGATGTTTTCAGTCTCCATCATAAAGGCCTTTTAGTGATTCCTCATTGCTTTTAGACTAAAGCCAAAAAATTTTATCATTGCCTCAAATATTGCCCTATACTTTCATCTGTAGCATCATTTACCACAACTATCCTTTGACCTTACTTTTTGTGCTTCCTGTACTCTAGGCTTCTTTCAATACTTGGGCATCACCATGTTCCCTCTGTTCCAGGGCCTTTACACACACCCTGAAGTTAATTTTAAAGACTATTTTTCAACTAGATGGGAAAATGCAATTGAAAGAACTGAAGCAGTAATCTTAGCGTTCACACTCATTTATAATATATTAAAATAAGAGATCTACTAAAATAATTTAGTAAATCAGCTAAAGTGTGTATGAAATTAACATGTTAATATGCTGTCATTTCATATCCTAGAAATCAAATCTAACACCACATTTTTAAAAACTTTCACTTCTCATTCTAATGGTCAAAGAAGACTTCTGAATGTCACTAGATTACAGACAGTATTCCAACTCTCAAAATACATGGAGAAGCCTTTAATGTAACTACAGTTTTATTTTCCGAGCAGAAGTTTGCATCATGCTGGTCCAAAGCATTAGATTTCTCCAAAGATTTGGGCAGAGGCCAGTAGCACACACGATTTTCAACAAACTCCCACAATGCTCATCAGCACATAAGTCTGTCCCCTGATAGCCAGCCTCCTCTTCCACATAAGGCCATTAAAACATGTCTGTGCATCTGCTCTGGAAACCCTGATCCAAACAAAACCTTATGGGAAGTGCCTCAGTTATTTATTAAAAACTTTACATCTAATGTGATGAATTTTACAGGTTATTCAAAATGTTTCAGGTTTAGTATCAGAAGTATCTCCTTTGTGTTTGAAAGGAACATAGAGAATGTGTTTCATGCTATGACTTATTTCAAAATCACACCACTGTTTCACAGAACACAGGATTGTAATCACATATTTTGAATATGTAATTTTTGCTAGATCTTTATAACCAGAGAATTTAGCCACTTCAAGGTATTTTATTGCCAAATGAAAATGCTTATTCTTGAAGTTACATGCTGATATATATATATATACGTATATATGTATATACATATATATGTATATATGTATATATATATACATATATGTATATATACATGTATATGTATATACATATATACATATATATGTATATATATATATGTGTGTGAATATATATATGTGCACATGTTTATATACACACATATATATTTATTATCTTATTCTCTAGGCTTTGATTCCACTATATCAAAAGAGTTCATAAAGCACTAATTTGTTTCTTGTGATGCTATATAATCTAAAGCACAAAGTAATTGAAGGATTTACTTCATTCCCCAAAGCAAATGTAAGAAACTGACAAACTATGTTACTTAAATGAGATCAGAGGCTTAAGCCCCTTATTCAAAGTCCTGACAGGGCTCTCAGGTAGAACTGAGACATGAAATACCTACCGTTTTGCTGAGGTAGCCTGTGCTGGTGTTCATGCACTGCAGCCCCTCACTGTTGCAGCAGCCTCCACATCTGTAGACGGACACACATGGAGGTTTAAAGAAGGTGTTTGTTGCTGCTCCAAACTCCTTCCCCACATCTATACACACCTCACGTGGCATGCATTGAGTCTTTCTCCACTCATTATCAATACCTGTCGAGTTATAGGGAAGTCCGTAAGTTACACAGAAGCCACCAAAGGGGAATAAAGCCCACAGCAGATGGAAGCACTCACAATTGATTTCAGATTTTAAGTGTAATATACAAGTTTAGGGAAATAGCCTACAAGATCCTAAATTGCCCTGTGAATGGGAGAATAATATTTAATAGAACTTCTAAGGATATTTTCTTTAAAAACTTATTTCCACAGCCGTATAACAAGCTAAATTAAGATTATGCTTTTTAAAATTTACACCACTATTCCACAGCACTTATGTTTAGTTTTCCTTGTTCAGAAAATGGGAATTTAGTATATGAATGTTTACAAGATGTGCAAAAATAGAGTCACACTCATTTGGTAAAGCATGTGTTATTTTTGTGGTCTTGTAGCAAATGTAAACAACATGTCTTTATTTTTCATATAAACCAAGATTGTAAATGAGAAAGCAACTATAGTTTTGAACTAAACTCAAAAACAATATTCAGGCAGGCTACTTGACAATTTTGGGCAATGTCATGGAAGTAGCTATGTGCAATGTAAGGTTATTTTCCACCCAGTAGGACTTTATCCTAAAGAAACTTTTTTTCCTCAAAAATCTAATTTCTTATCCCCTTCATTCTTTCTCTTGGAATTCTGTTTCCAATGAGTTAGTGGCTTACCTATAGCACTGTTGACTTTTTCCTGCATTACAAATGATGTATTTCCTAAGTGTTCTAGTTTATTTTTCTCATATTTCCCCTAAAATAAAATCTCGGGGAAAAAGGACAATAAACTATTGGTTATTCATCTGTGAAGTCATTTTTGTTTGTTTTTGCTTTCAAAATACTTCTCAATGTCAATACTTTTTAGTGAGTAACAGGTAACAACTAGTGAGAGTTTATATTGTGCCTTTTTATGTGACATCACAAATGCTTTGGGATGTAGCATTAGTTTTACACAAGTTCAACTTTGAGCCAGTTATCTATAGGGCACCAAAAGCAAGAATCACTTGAAAAAGTGACCTGGGTCACCTTTTAGAAATTCTTAGAAATTAAGAATTTCTAAATCCAAGTCATATAGAAAGCTTATGTAGAGATATTTTGTAAAACACAGAATGTTTAAGTGGTTGAACTAACCTAGTATGTAAAATATATCTATATGTCTTAAACTTTTTATTCTATAATAAAAATTTACTTTGATTAAAAAATAAATCTGTGTTGATATGTATGTACATTTCTATCTTTGTATTTCAAGATATCATCTTAACACTCACAGTGAAACCGCAAAATGTTACATTTTGAGTGATTATTTCCTCCTTCCTTCCTTCCTTCCTTTTTTACTTCAAGCCATGAGATATATTCAGTGGTACAATGCTAACATTAAAGGACCACAGGGCAACTTTCACTGGTTTCATACATGAGACTTATAAATTTTCTTTCCCATACTTACTTTTCAGGATCTCTGTATTATAGTGTGCAGCAGCAAATTTTACAGTCTCTGCTGCCCTTGTGCTGAGGGTGGGCTGTTCTTTATTGTGTTGCCAGCCTCCTTTCCGTAACTGGCACTTGTACATTTTCCAGTATTCTGGGTATAGGACAGTCATGAGTTCATCTACACTCGACACAGACCGCAACTGTTCTTCCAGATCTTTGCCTGCATATGTCTGTCAAAGAAAAGTGCAAGATCAATTACTTACCAGATTAAGAATTTGGGAACAGGTGTACTAAATGTTCTTTTGTACACATACACATTATGAAGTGCTTACCACAAGCTAATCAACAAGTCTCATTTTTCCATTTTCATACATGAATACATAATATTTACACTACATTCACCCTCTACACCCTTTCTTTATATCCTCACCTTCCCATTGGTACTACCCCCAGATAGGACCTGTTCTACCTTCCTATTTCAGGAATGGGGATAAAGGAGAATCATGGAAGGGATGAATTCAAGTATGATATATTGTAAGAACTTTTTGTAAATGTCACACTGTACCCCCAGTACAACAATAATATAATAAAAATTACATACTATATGAATTTATAGATATATTGATTAACTTGTGATAAGCACTTCATAATGTGTATGAGTATGAAAACATTACATCATACACTTTAAATATATATAGTTTTTGTTTGTCAATCATACCTCAATAAAACTAAGGGGAACACAGTTATATTTGCTGCTACATATACTATTAATTTGTAGTAAAATGTCATAGATGGTTTAGCGTTTGCTTGTTGCAGGGTCCCAGAAGCAACAGAGCAACAAGGAGCAACCGAGGAATGTGTGTTTAGAGAGTTTCTAGAGCTCTTTCCCCTGTACCTCAGCTAAGATTAAAGTCAGCATGTGATCTAAACTTATCACACCACTTTCCAGAGTAAGGCTGAATGTTCATGTACCAAGAGGAGCCTCAAAACAACAGTGCTACACAATTCAGTGGAAGATACACACAAAAATCTAAGAAAAGGAAAGATATTTAAGAGGGATTCTCAATTAAATATCCTTTGAAGATTTAAGATAAACATTTACCCATGTACTTTGAAATTCAGAAACAGAAAATAACTTGTGATAGTTATTACATATTACACATTTTTGTAACTTAGTAACTTGGAAAAAATAAATATTATTATATACTTATAAGAGAAAATGCTAAGTTCTCTAATAGATCACTAAGACAAAAGCATAACATTGAAATGGACAAAATGTGAAAAATGCAAAAAGATAAGTTATTATATTTATATTTCTAGGCTGAAAAACTTCTGTTTAAAGGTGGATATAAAAATTAAATGTAAAACATATATCAACTCCTTGTCTCATGAAACCTATCATCAAGTAGATATCTAACTTCAAACTATACTAACAGAGCCATAGCAGTAAAAACAGCATGGTACTGGCACAAAAACCGATATGTAGACCAGCGGAACAGAATAGAGGACCCAGATATGAATCCACACAGCTACACCCACATTATTTTCGACAAAGGTGCCAAAAACTTATGATGGAAGAAAGACAGCCTCTTCAACAAATGTTGCCGGGAAAAGTGTTTATCTGCCTGTAGAAAACTGAAACTAGATCCATGCCTGTCACCCTGTACTAGTATCAATTCAAAGTGGATTAAGGACCTTAATATCAGTCCCCAATCCTTGCAATTAGTATAGGAAAGAGCAGGGAATACTCTGGAAGCAATAAGAATGAGCAAGGACTTCCTCAGTAGAACTCCAGAGGCCAGCAACTAAGAGAAAGGATTGACAAATGGGACTACATGAAATTAAAAAACTTCTGCACAACAAAAGAAATGTTCTCTAAATTGAAGAGATCATCCACAAAGTGGGAGAAAATATATTCTAGGTATATCAGACAAAGAACTTATAACCAGAATATACGAGGAGAGCTCAAAAAACTAAACTCCTCCCAAATCAATGAACAAATAAAGTGGGCAACTGAACTAAACAAAACTTTTTCTAAGGAAAAAATCCAAATAACCAAAAAACACATGAAAAAATGTTCAACATCCCTGGCCATAAAGGAAATGCAAATCAAAACCACACTAAGATTCCAACCCCACCCCTGTTAGAATGCTGTCATCAAGACCACCAACAAACATGAAATGCTGGTGAGGATGCGGGAAAAAGGAACCCACAAACATTGCTGGTGGGAATGTAAGCTAGTACAACCACTTTGGAAAACAATATGGAGGCTTTTTAAAAAATTAAACATAAATCTGCCATATCCAGCATCCCACTCTTAGGGATATACCTGAAGGAATGCAACTCAAGGTACTACAAAAGCACCTGTACACCCATGTTTATTGAAGCACCATTTACAATAGCCAAACTGTGGAAACAGCCAAGATGCCCCAAAACCAACAAATGGATATGTGGTATTTATACACAACAGAATTTTACTTAGCACAAAGAAGAATGAAATTTTGTCATTCACAAATGAATGGATGGAACTAGAGAACATCACCTTAAGCAAAGTTAGCCAGGCTCAGAAGACCAAAACCCACATGTTCTCCCTTATATGTAGATTATAGACCCAAAACAAATGCAGTAATATCATTGGACATGGGTCACACACTAAGGGGAGAACACACATAAGAGAAATAGGGAAAGAAAAGGAAACCTAAAACTTGAATGCGGTTGATGTGCGGGTGATGATGTGATAAAATTCACTTTTAAAGTCACTCCTTGGTAGAGACCCATAAATGCTCATGGGAAGTCAAATGATATGCTAAGGAAGAGAAATTGAAAATGTTTTACATAGCCTTGGAAAATCATTTACCCAATGTTTCAGTGAAGGTGCCAGTTAAGACTCTTTCACCTTTAGACCACTAATCATCCATGTCTGCACCAACCTGATGTGTCACAGAAAGCAGTTTAATACTGGAGGCTTTAAATGTGTATTGCTAAACTTTTAGCTTAATTTGCCTTTTGTCTGAAATGTTTCATTGTAAATGTTGAAAATAAATGCCCAAATAATACATTCTTTATACCAATTATTGATAGCATGAATTATTGTATTAAAAGAAAAGGTCACTTTTTGAGTTTTTAAGAATTAAATAAGTAATCAAATATTTAGCTTATTGGAGTTTAAATAATGTAGGCTACTAGAAAATCCTTTATTCATTTTAAAGTATGTTATTTTGAGGGTAACTTTAAAATAAATGCCAAAGTAGACAATTTGTCAGTCATTTCTGCATAATCAGCACAATCAAAACAAGATACTTGAAATACAGATGTCTTGTACTAGATACTAAAAAATACTTGCGTAAGTTTTATTCTGGAATGAAATCCCCAATGACTCCACTTTCTTGTACAGTAACAACATGACCTCAGAAATATTAATTCTAATCTTTCCCAGGTGTGAATGCACAAATAGCACCAAGGAGGAGGAGCCAAAAATAACAAAAGCAATTGTTTCAACAATTGGTGTGTTCCCTGGGGACACTGGCAATGTCTAAAGACATTTTTGGTTTTCAGAACAGTGAGGGTACTACTGGCATGAATGAATAGCAGTCAAAAATGCTGCTGTACTTTCTACAATGCACAGGGCAATCTCCTACAGAAAAAGAATTGTCCAGGCTAATGTGTCAATTGTGCTGCTGCTGGGAAAACATGCAGTTAAGTAAGAGTGGGCTTTGTCAGACTGGATAATTTAAACATATATAGCATTTATTAGCCACGTTAGAGCATGCCAGAAGGTTGAACACCTGCAAGAATTTCACGTTGTAAAATCCTTTAGAAACACTAGAAAGAGTAACTGAATGAATCTAAAATAACACTAGCAGCTGGACTTACTGACTGTAACATTCTTAGGAGGATTTATATTTTGGCCAAAAAATATCTTATTTTACTTCTTAAAAATTTTTTTATTGTTGTGCTGGGTATGGATACATTGTGGCATTTACCAAAGTTCTTACAATGTATCAAATATATCATACTTGAATTCACCTCCTCCCAACATTCCTTCTTTCATAGTGATAATACAGTAGTTTACACATAGTATGCCTAGATAGGTAAGTACAAAATGTTTTAATTATTTTACTTTGATGGTTTATAATTTTAGAAAACAAATCTTACATCTTTTAAAAATATATAATAAGAAAATTCTTTTGAAATTAAAACAGTGTGATAGTAAAATATTCATTTTTAGTAAAATTCCTTTTCTTTGACATCCATAAGACCAATAGATGTTAATGCTATTTAGTCCTGAAAGTACTACTAATGTGATTTAAAATTTTTAAATTAGTGAATGTTATTCACTTAAGAAAGTGAGTAAGTTATAAATACACAATTTGACAGATGGAATTCCTGTCATAATTCCCAGGTGGAGATATAGAACACTGACTAACTACATCTGGAAGCCTTCTTTATGCTTTTTATTAATAATTCTACCAAATACTACCAGTGTTGTTCTGATTTCTTCTCTCATAAGTAGCTTCACTCTTTTCTGAATTTAGAAATCCTATGGAATATAATCATTAGAGTTGGGTTCTTGTTTTTTATATCTCATGCTTGTGAAATTGATCTGTATGTGAGACTGTTGATTTTGGTGTTCCCTGAATTTCTGTTGTATAAATGACCACAATTTGTCTACTTTATGCTCTGTGTTTCTTTTAGTGAAAGCACTATGCATTTCAGGGAGTAATATAACTAAAAATGGAATTGATAGCTCAGGGAATAAACATATAATTAGCTTCATAGATATAGTAAATCATTTTTCCAAAGTAATTCTACCTACTTTATACTCCTGAAGGTTGTATATAAATCCCTTTGCTCCATAACTTTTCGAACAACTAGTAGTCTTGTTTTAAAATTTCAGTCATTCCAGTTGGTACATAATATTTCATTGTTGTTTAATACTTAGTCTCTGCATGACTGAAGATATTGGACAATCTCATGTTATTTGGATATGGGGTTTGCTCTTTTAAGAAGTACCAAGTAAAAGCTTCTTATTCATTTCTGTTGGCTGTCTTATTGGTTATTTATTTCTAAGAGTTCTTAATGCATTCTGAATATGAGTTCTTTGTTAAATATGCATGTGTATTGCAAATATCTGCTGTGTAACTTGTATTTTCACTTATTCAATAATAATTTTTGCTGAAAAAAATTCTTACTATTAGTGATTTCTATTTTTTTTCCTCATGGTTAATGT